TCTTTAGCCCTTGGGGTTTTCTGGACTGAGTATTGAACCCAAGGGCACTTTAGCACTGAACTATGTCCCCAACCCTTTTTTTCTTTTATATTTTTAGACAGGGTCTTGCCAAGTTTCTTAGGGTCTCCCTAACTTGCTGAGGCTGGCCTTGAACTAGCCATCATCCTGTCTCAGCCTTTCAAGTCACTGCCATTACAAACTTGCCCAACCATGCCCAGCCAAAGAATAATTCTTAAAGTCAAAACACCATCTTAAACATAATAATTCAAGTATTCAGAACATCATCACATCTGTCTGTAAAGCCTATGGAAAATACAGCAATTAGACAGATAAGGAGGCTATACTGTGGGCCTGGAAACTTTTTTATGTGTAATGAATGGAAGAAAGAATTCTGTGTTGAACCAGTGGAGAGGAACTAAAGTGAGATTGTGGGTGAGTTCATGCATATAGAGGGAAAAAATGAGAAAAGTATAATGTGTGTGATCTTTGAGAAGAAAGTGTAATATCAATAAGAGGGTTGGATTTCTTTGCTAAAATAAACAACTTTTATTCAAAATATAAACCCCAGGTAAGGCAATCAGAAATGTAAAACTAATATACACATATTATTTCTCATTTAAAAGTTTAAAAAGTGAATGTTACTGTGGCTCAGTGGTAGAGCACCTGCATAGCATGTGTGAGGCACTGGGTTCTATTCTCAGAACTGCACATATATACATAAAATAAAGGTCTATCAAAATTAAAAAAGAAAGAAAGAAAAGAATGGTATATTTTAATCTTTTTGAAATCTGTCCATCTCATACATTAAGTATATTATTTTATAGGAAATGAAATCAAAATATAGGATGTGTTCCTTTTGTGGGGAATCTGTAAGATAAATTGCTATAATCAAATAATAGGTATCAATTTATATGTATGAGCTCGCAAATTCATACCTGTGGACCTTAAATAAGGGAGACAAGAATAAAGGCCACTTTGAAAAAATAGGAGGGCATTTGAAAAATAGAAAAAGTTTCTGTTAGATCCTGTGTGCAACCATCGTTAAATATTGCAGGGCTCTAAACTTTTAGAAATGTGATATTTTCATCCATGTAGGTGGAAGGTAACTTGCAAAGTCTTGGAAATTTGGAGTGTGTATACATGTGTGTCATGCACTGGTAAAATTGAATTTTTAATCTTTTCTTCCATTTCATTTGAAACAAAAAATGTGAAAACAAGGTCATTTGGTATCCAAGCTGACAATCACATTCATGATGACAGACACTTCACAGGTGAGTAGAGTTGGCAGTAGGAGGAAAATAAGGACCATAATTTCTAACACCAAATAAAAGGAACGGGGAAGAAACAAATGGAAAACTGAAAACAGAGTAAACATTCTATTAGGAGAGACTATGTAAGGAGACACTGATAGTCTTCAAAATCTAGTTAAAGAAATCATTTTATAAATGTCTGTGTTATTTGTAGAAGTACAGATATTTAACCAAAGTATGTAAATCAAAACCCTAAATATAGGTAAGAAGATGCAGTTTGTGATTATTTATAAAAAATCATTCTGTATTTAGAGAGAAATAATTGATGAGAATTTTTTGAAGAAAAAGCTAATCAATTAAAAACATACATTACACCATGACTGGCCAAAGCTGCAGCCTGGACCTGGAAGAAATCCTGAGCCATGTTGGTGAAGCTGCTCACACAAGTGTCGTCCAACTTAAGGAAAGCAGATGGCAAAGAGCTGGGATTCCGTGAAGGAGTGGTGGAGTCACTGCTTCCCCA